AAACAAAGGATTTGGAGGTGTGCACCCCATGAATTTTTTCAACGCTGCTTTCTATGGATCCCCCTCAGTAGTCTACATCATTAATCCATACAACTATACCCAGTTATACGATGTTCGGTCTTCCTTTCCTCCCTGATTGAAAGCTCGGCAAGCCTTGCCAGGATGGAACCCCAGAATTCAGTTAGTCTCCTAATAACTGAAGCAGCCCCTCAAAAGGCCTTGCCTAGAGTAAAAAGTCTTCACGACTGACTGGGTGATTAAAAGAATTCAATAACTGTGGGCAATTGGAATCATGGCACGTTTATCCTGGGCTATTTTCAGTCCTGTAAATCAGCCATTTGTTTTCTACTTTTGGGTTTGACCTGATGTGTTTGTGACTACTGGGTAACTACTTTGGGAATGTAGAAACAGAACCCTAGCTCTACCAGCTCAGAGCCCAGGCATGTCCTCAGATGGCCCTGAGGCCTAGATCAGATGTCTTTGCTTTGCGCTAACCCCTCAGCCTGTTTCTACAGATGTATTTAAAAAGTGCCTTGATTTATAACTTCCTTTGTTCTGTTACTATAACCATTATCAGTTCAGAACAAAGTTTGGGGGATGACCTAAATTTGTGTTCCTGGCTATGGATGCCCATATTTGTTTCCAGTTGAAACAATCAATTGAGGAGAGAGCCGTGTGTGTGTGTGTGTGTGTGTGTGTGTGTGTGTGTGTGTGTGTGTGTGTGTGTACTGGGAAGAAGTATGCCTGTCTCCCTGCCTCCAATCTCTATTCTGGCTTACACTGCCTTTGTGACCTCTGAACTTGACACCCCCAAAATTCCCAACCTCTCTTCTGTTGATGTTATCGTCCTACTGGATATAAGTTCTTCATGTTTGGTCTCACTGTATCTATCTCGCCTGGGTAAATAATAAGCATTTTCCCCCCAAAGCCAGGAAGAGCTATCCTGCTACCCATCATGTAGAGTAAGGGAGACAGATCGAAAAGCCAGAGATTTCCATTCCAGCACCAGCGTCCTGTGTGACTGGCTGTTGTGTCCTTGGAAAAGCAATTTAAGTCCTTTCTACCTCAGCCTGTGGTTTCCTAACTCTAAGAAATATCATAAATCCATTTCGTCCTCATCATTTTTTACCATCAAAGAACATTTATCAAATGGCTTCCTGGTGACAGCAGCTTGCAGGGCAGGGTAGAAAGCAGAGGCTCCTGTTCGTCAGGGACCTCACAGGACACTGAGCCTCATGCAGTTATTCACAGAGTGCTGCTGCTCTGTGGGAAAAGCCACGGGAAGAAGCTTTATGGGAAAAACTGCATTATTAATTTTTTTAAACCTAATCTTTATCCTAATGGTATAGCTAATATACTTTCTTTTGGTGTAAAAATGTCATTTGTTTTATAAAAGTATGGCTCCAGCAGATGTTATTTTATAAAAATTATCCCTTTTTGCCAAAACAAAACGTTTTGCTCTTTTAAAACAACATTTTTTTTTTCTAAAAGGTTTTGCTAGTGGGGACTGGAGAGATGGTCCAGTCTGGGAAATACTTGCCATGCAAACATAAGAGAATGAGTTTGGACTCCCAAATTGCAGGTAAAAAACCATGCATGTTGCTGTGTGCTTAAAATCCCAGTCCTGGTGATGTAGACACAGGGGAATGTTGGGAACGTTCTGGCGAGCTTGTCTTACTGAGTCGGTGAACTTCAGGCTCAGTGAGAGATCCTGCCTTTAAAAATAAGGTGGAGAGCTCTGGAGGAAGACATCTACACCGACCTCAGTAAGCAGTGTTTTTCTGTGGATCCTGTATCAGTTCCTGCCTCCAGGTTCCTGCCATTACTTCCTGCCCTGACGTCCTTCAAGGATGAACTGTGATGTGAAAGTGTAAGTGAAGTCAACCCTTTATCCCCCAAGTTGCCTTTGGTCATGGTGTTTTATCCCAGCAGTACAAGTCCTAACTAAGACACACACATGCATGCATGTACACACACACACACACACACACACACACACACACACACACACACACCCCAGGGACTGCACAGAGCACATCTCACAGAGCCCACACAACGGCTTGGCTAATGGGCTAACCCCAAATCCAAGCTTGAAGACACTACTGAGATACTTCTCTGTCTTTCGGAAGAGGTTTGAATCTCTCTTCTAGAGGCCATCCATCTTCCCTTTGAGCCTCTGCAGTAAGTAGTTTTAGGAAATTCTGAGCTGGTGGTCTCTAGACAAGGAAGGACCACATATCTGCCCTGCCTGCTACTGTCCATATGCTTTGGGCTAGTCACTCAAACCCTCTGAACCTCATCTTCCTTATCTGCAGAATGCATTTGGATACTGTCACTGAGTATTCACCGTTTCTCCTAATGGGATCCCCAAGGATGACATGTACTCTTGAGTGGTCCTCTGCATCCCCATTCTGTTCTCCAGGTTCTGGCTGCATACAGCTTCACAGTCCTGTCGCTCTCCCCCAGTGAACCCAGGGAAGCCAGTCTGAAAGCCATCTGGAATGAACAGCAGCTGTGTCTACAGTGGTGAAGAGCCCAGGCAGCTGGCCCTCACACATAGGTGCAGGCACACAGTGGTGCAAGCATTCTCTAGCCACTTCCAGGTGATGGGAACTGATTGCAAGAATGCTCAGCTCACCACATACTGAGTTCCCGGTTACCCTGGGCTACATGTATAGTGAGACTGTGCCTCAAAACGAGAATAGTCACTTTATGTCTATTGGATTAGAATACTCCAGAGAGACAGAGCCAATGGACTCTGGATACAGACACTGGGAGGTATTTATCAGAGAAATTGGGTGACAAAATTTGAGTAGCTGAGGAGTCCTAAGGCAGGTGATCTGCAGACTGGAGACCCCAGAATGCCCATAACAGGCTCAACCCGAGTCTTAGAACCAGGGAAGCCAATGGATAACTCACAACTCCAGACTGAATGCCCGAGAACCCTGGGGGAAAGGGTAGTGTCATAAATCCTGAGTCCAAAAGGCCAGCAAACCTGGGGGTCTGATTTACAAGGCAAGAGATCGTCCTATGGGGCAAGGGGAGGGTTTGTAGAGAGTGGATGGCAATCTGCCATCTGTAATTATTCTCCACCTCTTGTGGGCAGGAGGATGGAATGGTGCCTGCCCACTTTGAGGGCTAGTCATCTCTACCTAGTCCTCTCAGACACACATAATCACCCGCCGTGGAAACACTCTTGCAGACTTCTTGGTTCTTTATTCAGGTCTCCAGCTGATCCTAATCTAGTTCATTTGATGCCCAAAGCTAACCACCACAGGTATTCCCTTTTTGTAGAGTTAGCTGATGTGTTCAAGGGCCTTTCCTGTTATTAATCCTGTCAATTTTACCACAGTCTCATAAGCAGTAGTAGCATCCCCATTTCACAGATGAAGAAATGGAGACATAAAAAGTAATAACTTCCTCAAGGCCATTCCAATCAGTAACAAGAGGTGAAAGAGGATTTAGGTCAATTCCAGTCCCAGAATTGTACACTAACCATGACACCAACAAAACACACAGCCCCCATCACCAATACAACTAAGAGCTCCCTAGATTAATTAGATACAGAATTGAAATGGCTCATTGAACCACTTAAAAATTAGAATCTATTATGGGATAAATTGTGTGCCTTTTCATTCCCTGTGAAAGCTATGTTGAAGTTCTAATCCCCAGCACCTCAGAATGCTATCTTATTTAGAAATAGGGCCTTTGAAGACATAATTATTTAGTATGAGGTCATATTGGGGTACTGGGGCCCCCAATTTGATATGACTATTGTTCATATACAATGGCCATGTGTGCTTGGCATGGTGTCTTATACCTGTAATCTTATCACTGAGGAGAATGAAGTAGGATTGCCACAGGTTCGAGGCCAACCTATACTACATAGTGATTTTTGGGCTAGCCTGAACTAGAGTGAAACCTTCTCTCACAATGAAAAAAATAAATGAATAAAGATGGAGTTTTAGTCACTTGTCTCATCAATATGACAAAATATACCTGACAGAAACAGCTTAAGTACAGAAGTGTTGTTTGGGGGTTTTTGGGCTCACAGTTTGAGGGTTCAGTCTGTCATGGCGGGGAAGTTGGCAGCCGGAGTGTGAGGCAGCCGGTCACATTGCACCCACAGTCAAGACACAAGAAGAGCTAAATGCTGGTGTTCAGTGTGAGATCCCAGCCCATGGCAGGGCACCATGCACATTCGGGATTAGTCTTCCCATTTCAATTAACCTAGTCTAGACAATCTGTCACAGACATGCTTAGATGACTGTCTCCCAGGTGAACCTATAGCCTGTCAAGTTGACAACCAACCATCATTCATGGCGATGTAAAGAAAACAAAGGCTTTCTGTGCATTGTGCCGGCTCATAACGGCAAGTCTGATCACAGTTAGGGCACACCCACAATCCAGGATGATGTTCCTGTTTCAGTATCCTTTATGTAATGACATCTGCAGAGATCATTTTCTTATATACATTTCCCCACAATATCACAGAGAATTAGGACTTTCTATCTCAGAGATGGTGTTCTTTAGCCTGTCATAGACACAAGCATCCCTAATATATGGAGAAAGGCAAGATGGGCCCCAGGGCGTCACTTCCCCATAATGAGGCCTACATGTTACTAATGCAATATGGCAGAAAAAGAAATGGTGTGTGAGTTCCCTGACTGGCAGAGGGGGTATGTGTTCTGCCTTGTTGACTAACCTTTCTCTGAGGGAGGTCGGCCACGAGGAAGCTACTCTAGCAGCCCCACGTGGCACTAACTTGTCAGTCCTGTCAGCCTGGCACTTTGTGGGTGGAACCTTAAGCCTCCAGGACCACAGACACAGGACTGGTCCACAAGCCATCCGTGCTTCCTGCCCTACAAAACAGTGAAGACTGTGGTTACTGGTGTTTGGAGTCCTTAGGTTGGGAGGGTGATTCATGACAGTGGCATGGAATTTTGTTACCTGGAAGAAATGCATGATTTTTTTTTTTTTAAGAGAATGGGTTTATTTTGGTACATGGTGTCGGGTTTTAGCCCACGGCTAGCTGGCTCTGTTGCCCCTGGGCTGTGTGAGACGGCACACCAGGATGGATGGATATTTATAGCCAAGTAAAGCTGCCATAACTGCACGATGGCCACCAAATCATGAAGTCATCCTTGGGTTAACCCACCGATGAGGTCATGAACCTTCATGACCCAATAACCTCTCCATGGTTAGACCCACCATCTGGCCACCAAGCTGTCAATATGTGAGTCTTTGGGGGAATCACTTCGCCTCCAGTGGATGTCATGGTTGGAACTAGGGGAGCGTAATTGTGAAGTCTGAGGACCCATTGCTTACCACGTCACTATTCAAGTGACTGGAACATCCCCGCGACGCCACCGGGCTCCTCACCTGAACACTCTGAAGGAAAGAGGACAGCAAATGGCTGTGGAGTTCTTTTTGAAGTTCTTGTACCTCAGGGCTGCAGTGCTTGTGTAGCATGAGCAAGACCTTGGTTCAATCTCTAAAAAAAAAAAAAAAAAAGTCCAGTGCACCATTGCCTAACCATCAAACCGATTAATTCCGTGCACCCCATAATCCAGCCCAATCTAACTCTCTAGTGTCTTTGTCCCCTTTTGGTGGTAGCTGAGACACTGTGTCACTGGACTCTGGCTGTGAAGCGGGATACAGACCACTGGGAGGCTGACGGCTGACGTTTGTGCCCTCCCAGTTCCAGAGGCTGTCACTGCAGCATCAACACACTGCATGCAGATAGCTGTCTTCCCGTGTGTCCTCACGTGGCCCTTCCTCTGTGGATGTGGGAAGAAATGGAGATTATTGATCTCTGCCCCTTTTCTTCCCCCAAGGACACTTGTTCTGCCAGACTAGGGCTCCATGATAACCAGACCATTTACCTCTAGTTACCTCTTCAAAGGCCTTAACTTTGTAGTGAGGGTTAGGGCTTCAATATATAGTTTTGAACAGACACAGTTCAGTCACTAGCAGACATTTGCCCCTGGCCAAATATCCATGTACTCTATCTGATACTTCCCAGGCTCCTTAGAGCCCAGCAGGGTTATGGGTTCTAAGGAATATCTCTGAATATCTTGGACCACATGGCTGTTAGCAAAAGATTTACATGACCCTTTGGCATGAACTCTGTAAAAGCTGGTGACAGACACTTGAGTTCTATTTTCCTTTCTCTTCCTGACCTACGAGCTGTGTAGATGATTCAGCAGGAAGACAACGCAGCCTCCATTAGCCTGACCCCTTGAGTGGCTATGTTGGAATGCAGCCTGGTTCATTTACACTGAACACACACCACAGATAAACCTTTCAGATTTTAGGGTAAATTTCTACCATTTTCTTTCCTTTAAAAAAAAAAAACAAAAACAAAAACAAAAACCAACAACTCATTTATTCATTTTATTTTTATGTGTATAAAGTGTTTTCGGCCTGAACATATATAAGTGCAAGACATTTGTGCCTGGGGCCTGTGGAGGTCAGAGGAGGCACTGGCCCCTTGGAACTGGAGTTATAGACGGTTGTGAGTCACCATGTGGGTGCTGGGGTTCAAACCCAGGTCTCTGCAAGATTAAGAAGTTCTTCTCTTAAACCACTGAGCCATATCCCAAGCCCCTCTACAATTCTCTAAGTAATCATTAAACTTATCTTTTAACACTAGTGAACTACTAAAAAACAAAACTCTATCTCGCCCTCTTGGAGTTGTGTTCTTAACATTGTTAATGTGGCAATATTCTCCCACTTTGATGTATAACTACAATAAGATTCTTATTAAAGTTTCAGCTTTTCTTTTTCTTCTTTCAGAATTTGACAAAATAAACCTAAAACGTATGTGGAAATGCAAGAGACACAGAACAACCAATATGATCTTGAGAAAATAACAGCAAGATTAAGACTCCCCACTTCTCAATTTCAAAATATACTCCAAAGCTACAGTAATCAAGAGAGTGTGGTACTTGACTCATTACTAGACATTTATGTTGATGGAACAGAATTGAGAATCCAGAAACAAATTTTCCCATTTACAGCCAATTGATTATCAATACTTCTTCTAGAAAATTCAATGAAGAAAAAAAACAGCCTGTCTAGTAAATGATTTTAGAACAACTGGATAGCCACATAACAAAGAATGGCTCTTCAGCCTGCACCTCACAGCACTAAACAAATAAATAAACAAACAATGTTTTAAATTTACTCAAAATGAGCCGGGCGGCGGCGGCGGCGGCGGCGGCAGCGGTGGCGGTGGCGCACGCCTTTGATCCCAGCACTGGGGAGGCAGAGCCAGGTGGATCTCTGTGAGTTCGATGCCAGCCTGGTCTACAGAGCAAGATCCAGGACAGGCACCAAAACTACACAGAGAAACTCTGTCTCGGAAAAACCAAAAAAAAAAAAAAAACCAACCTCAAAATGAGCCAGGCAAAGTGACTCATCCCTCTAATTCTAGCTTCTGGGATGGTGAGGTGGAAGGTGACTTGAGAGACTCTACAAGAGAGACTCTGCCTCAACAAACAGACAGACAAACAATTCACTCATAATGAATCAAAGTCCCAAATGTAACCCTTGGTGCAATCCATGAAAGAATAAGCAACAAAAGAAAAACAAATGAGGCATCAGTACATTAAAAACTTTTATGTTTCAAAGAACACCTCTAAAGCACATCTTAAGGCCAGCCTGAGCAAGTTCCAGGAAAGGCGCAAAGCTACACAGAGAAACCCTGTCTCGAAAAACAAGCAAACAAACAAACAGACAGACAGACAAACAAAAAAGGATTAGCAGTAATTAAGAGCACTGGCTGCTCTTCCAGAGGACCCAAGTTCAATTCCCATTGCCCACATAGTGGTTCATGAACATCTGTGACTCCACTTCCAGGGAATCTAATGATCTCTTCTGGCCTCTGCCAGCACAGCACACATGTACTGTAGACATCCTCGCAAGCACACACTCATAAAATAAACAGGGGTTGGAGAGATGGCCCAGCAGTTAAGAGCACCGGCTGCTCTTCCAGAGGACCCAAGCTTGATTCCCAGCACCCACATGGCAACTCACAACTATCTGTAACTCCAGTTCCAGAGGATCCAACACCTTCTTCTGGCCTCTGAGGCTGCACACAGGTGATACACAGACATACATGCAGACAAAGCACCCATATACATAAAGTGAAGCAATATAGAGAAATTTAAAAATCTTAAAAAAATAAGGTGGAAAGCAATAGAGAAGTCATCGGATCTCATACACACACACACACACACACACACACACACACACACACATAAATAAAAAAAACCAAAAGCACACTAAAATGCACACTCTCACTAGTCATTAGAAAATACAAAAACAAAACCCACAGTGAGACATGACCTTATACCCATTGGGACATCTAAAACAGAAAAAGGGGAAATGACAGGTGCTGGGAAAGGTGTGGGAAAATTAGAACCTTCACATCCAGCTGGTAGAAACAGAAAATGGTGCTGCAATTTAGAAAGCAGTCAGGCAACTCCCTTAAAACTCAAACATAAAGTTCACAGGACCCAGACTTCCATGCCACGGTACATAGCAAAGAGAATTGGAAACAGATACCTACCAAAAAATTACATATAAGCATTCATATATCATTATTTGTAATAGACAAGAAGTAGGAAACCCCCGGAGACCCACTGATTTAGTGAGTGGATGCACCTGTTCTTTTCCGTTCCTTACTGGGTCTCTGTTTTGTGGAATAAACTTTCCACAGCTCAAGCCTAGGGACCACTATTTCTCGAGGAGCTGTTTATTATTTTATCATTGCTGAATGGAAGTTAGAAGCCAAGATCTAGGCGCTGGGTGTTCTCACTGCAACTGAACATTATCAGTGCTCACAACTCTATTTTCTGGTATTAGTTTAAATTTTAAAAAGAATTTTAACTCATAAAACTTACAAAACACTCACCTACCATTTCCTTAATACTCCATATTTATGGATTATCATTGGTAGAGCTCCAAATCCTACAGCCCCAAGGCAGCAAATTGCATAAAACCCATGGAAAGTACTGGAACACACAGTAAGATAATGTGTTACAACCACATGACCCGACCTCGTCTTGTTGTCACAGCCCGAAGCATGAGGCTGCGTACAAACAGTGGCATTAATATAAACAGCAGGAAATATTCGGTTATTATAAACCAGTAAGGCATCAAAAGAGCAGAAGACCAATCAGAAATTTCAAACTGGCGGAGTTTCCTAAATGGCATCTGGTTCTCAATTCTGACTTAACAAGGGGCAGTCTCTATATAACAGATACCAAAAACCCCATGAGAAACAGGGTAACAAGGGCCATGTTTTCTGTATAAAAATCACTTCATGAGACTATGAGAACTCCGTGTCGCTGTACAGATTTATGAAGGAAACAGAATTCTTAATAGCGCTTTGGGCATCTGCTCCTATCATGGAGGGTAAGCGCGTCCAAAAGCAAGAAGACAACATTTGCCTAGAACCTGCTATTATTACACTCTGTGCATATGGCAGCTAAAAACTCATTAGTTTTATAATTCTGGCTGAAGTTGGCAAGCCACCTCCAGAAATATTTCCTACAAGTGAAGTGACAGATGGCATTTTCCTTTGTTATAGGATGAACTGCTCAGGGTAGTGGTCACACAGACAGACATCATCCAAACGGCATGTGGCTACTCTTATGTAAGGTAATTAATTTGTTAATCTTCATGTAACTGGCCGCCTTTTCATCATCTAAGAATACATTCTTGGTCAGACTTACATAATTTCTTTCAAATAGAGTTAGAAGGCAGACATGGTGAACAGCACATTTATCCCAGGACGTGAGAGTCTGAGACAAGAGGAATGTGAGCCTAGGGACAGCTTGGGCTATGTAGTAAAACTATGTCTCAAAACAAAACAAAACAAACAAACAAACACTTGATTTGAAACTCCAGATCCAGCGGAATTAGAAATACATTACACTGTGGAAATCAGTATGGCAGTTTCTCAGAAAATTGGGAATTGATCTACCTCAAGACCAAGCCATACCACTCTTGGGCATATACCCAAGGAAGGATCAATCATGCCACAAAGATACATGCTCAACTATGTTCATAGCAGCACTATTAGTAATAGCCAGAATCTGGAAACAACCTAGATGCCCGTCAACTGAAGAATGGATTAAGAAAATGTGGTACACAATGGAGTACTACTCAGCAGAGAAAAACAATGACAGCATGAAATTTGCAGGCAAATGGATGGAACTAGAAAATACCATCCTGAGTGAGGTAACCCAAACTCAGAAGGACAAATATGGTATGTACTCACTCATAAGTGGATATAAAGCAAAGGACAATTATACTGCAACCCACAGAACCAGGGAGGCTACATAGCAGGGGGGACCCTAGGATGACTGTGGCTTATAATGAGTTTTGGTTTGACTCAATCACTGGGCAAGCCTCAGTGAAACATTTCACTATTGGGATAAGAATTTGTACTGTATCAAGCTGATAATAGATAAACTAAATAAATAAAAATAAAACACACACACAGAGACACACACACAAAAAAAAAGAAAAAAGAAAATTGGGGGCTGGTGTGGTGGTATTGTGCTCCAAACCACAGAGGAAGCACAAAAAAAAAAAAAAAAGTCTGCAGGGAACCATGACCATGCCTAACAGCAACTTTGAAATTTTCAAAAAGATGACAGGAGCCCACAATGACAATTCCACATGGACTATGGTAAAGCCATTAAGCTGATTAACACCACCAAAAGATCGACTTTGAACTACAAACTACTGAGGACAATTTCGAGAT